GAGAAGGAATCCCTAGGAAGAGCCTCCCCCAAGGGCAGCACTTCCAGGCTCTCTCTCCTGCCCCACTACCTCCTCTATGGCTCAGCCCACAGCAGTGGGATCCCTCTTGTCCCTCAAAAGTATTGTTCAGCACAGACGAGCATCAAGTTTGGTCTCTGCTCTCAGGGCCGCAGCAGCATCTTCCCTAGTTTCTAACCTCACTGTAAGCACACCTCTCTTCCCAGTACTATTTCACACTTTCCCAATTCCTCTTCTTGCAAGGCAGAAGCAACGTGAAACTGACTTCAGACTCCTAGAATATCAGTGCAAGAAGGTCCTGCAGATCAGCAACTCAACTCCCCTAGTTGACAGAGGGCTGTAAAGCCAGAGATGGAAGGAATTTGTCCAATATCACCTGGAAAAGAGGCAGAGGAGCTAGGGTTTAACCCTGGGTCTTCTCACTTGTTCCCCCACTATGGAATAGAAGAAATCTTGAGGGCTGCTCCTGAATTTAACAAGAGATGGAGCAAAGGGTCAAACTCTATATTAAGGATCCAGGGAACCAGACAGGGCACCTGGTCGGCCCACAGAAAACCAGAGCCCCAAAGTGCAGTGGAGAAGGAGACTGAGTGGAGGGGACCCACAGAAACCTTAAGGCAGCTTCCAAAGGACCTTAAGCCTAGGGGAGTGCAGAGCCCTGAAGGCACAAAGCGTCACTGGTGAAGATGGAGTCTGTCACTGATCCTGGGCTGCTATCTGGAGAAGTACACTCATTCTCCCAGCCCAGCCATTTCCAGGAAACACTTGGGCACCAAGCTAGAGGCAATTAAAAGGCACACCGACCACTCAAGAGTCTGCAGCTGTTGCTGAAACTGTTCGCTCCACACCTGGGGTGCACAGCAGGGGCCCCAGGGCAGGGGCTCTGCTCTACCCAAGCACAACCCAGCCCTGAGTGTCCAGCAGGGCACCCTGCCCACCTGGTCACTTGCCATAATTCCCTACCCCAGCTGGGGTTTAGACACCTGCTGCCCAGCATCTCAAGACATCCTCTCTCTCCAGACTGCAAGGCTGCTGGAAGCTGGATTTGACTACAGTTGAGGTGACAGCCTCCCTCCCTCTGCAGTAGGCCCTTCTTCTAAGGATCCCAAAGCCCAGTAAGGCCTTCCCAGGAATGCTGGTGACACCTGTTGGCAGGCTGCTAGGTCCCACGACCCGTCTACACAGCCATTTTTCTGAGCATGGTCTTAGTCTATTCACATCGGAATTACCTGAGATGTGTTTAAAATACTGATTCCTGGGCTACTCTACAAATTCCGAACCTGTAGAGTGGGCAAGGCTTGGGAATCTGCATTTTAACATATTCCCTTGGTAGTTCTGATGCAACTGAAAGTTTGAGAACTACTTTCTCACAGTGTACCCAGGCTGGCTGCACCCCTTTCTGCTGCCAACCTGACAGCTGTTACAGCTGTGTGTGCGGACACAGTTAATCTGATTTCCTGTCTGGCAGCTGTGCAGCAGGGAAGAGACAGCTGAGGGTCTCAAAAACAAGAAGCGGGGATGAAGTAGAAGGGATGGGGGCAGGGGAGGCTGTCTGAATATGATTAGATGCTCGACTTCATTCCTTTCTTCCCTTGGGCCAAAATCCCACCAGAGAGGAAAAAAGTTGATAAACTGATCCCCAAAATTTTAGAAAACAGAGTCTCCTGTCAGAAACTCAGGAGCCCCATCAAGGCCAGACTGATCTCTATTCTTTAGGAGCACAAATTTTGAAGGCACAAAGACAGGTCCACCACATTAGGTTGTGCAGGTTGTGTACTGCACAAGGGCATTCAACTGAAGGGGCAAGTTGGGGGTTGAAATCTAGCACACTCCAACTGCTAAGCCTGCACGCTCTGGCATGAGGATGTATCCACCCAGAAGAAGGGGCATCTTTTAAGAATTTGTACAAAAGAGTTTTCGTGTGGATTGGCAGTGGCCCTACACAAAGATCCAAGTCCAAATCCCAGCCGTCACTCACTCTGTGACCTTGGGTAAGTTCCTTAATTCTCTGATCCTTCTCAATTGTAACACATGGCTATTAATACCTTCCTAAAAGAGAGAAGGTCAAGAAAGCACATGATACTCGTTAATTAGTACAATCTTTGTTCCCTTCCCACCCAAGTCTCGCCTTTCCTACCTTCTCCACACCTTTACACCTATACCCCAACATACCCAGCCAAGCTTGGAACAGTCTCAAGAATGTGAGCAAGATATCCAGGGGAAACCCCAATACCAAACATAAACCCGAAGGCACTTCCCAGAATCCATAGCATCCTTCCTTGCACAAGCAAGATGCATACCCTCCCTTACCGGGGAAAGGAGACTCCTCCATGCCTGCTCATAACATCCCGCACACTGCCCAAGCATCAGCTCTGCCGGGTCCAGGTGGAGGGGCTTCAGGGCCCACAGGAGGGAGGCAGGGGGTCCCCCAGCACTGAGTCCTTGGGAGTCCCAATCCAGAGTTCAAGCTCCTGGGCTCCCAAACCTGGGACCAGGCCTGGATGAAGGGGATGCCCACTGTATGCTCAGCTGTTACGGGGGAGTCAGGCAGACACCCCATATGTCAAGGAAGACCTCAGATGGCACTAGTGGAAGCTGCAATTTGCCCCTTCTTCAAGCAGGAACAGCAGACAGTGCTCTGCATCCCTCATGGGCTCTGCCTGCCAATGCTGCAGCTCATCCTCCGGGGCAATTCACCGTATGTGTCTACTCGCCCAGAGGGCCAAGCCCCAGAATGCTGCCACCAGCCCCCTCAAACAACATTCATTCATCCATGTGTCAGGCACTGTGCTAAGTGCTGGGGAATGGCAGTAAACAGGACAGCCCAGAGAACAAAGATGCCCCTAGAATAGGGTCCCAAGGTCTTGCAGCTGGAGCAGGCAGAGTCCAGAGTAGGCACCCATTCTGGGAAGCCCTATTCCCCAAACCCATGGGCTGGAGTGGCCTGGTGACACACACCACCCGAGAAACATCCCTGGACACCTGCTTTTTTAGCCACAGGCTTGACCTGTCTGGAGACTAATCAAGAGATGGGGAGAAGAGGCAGAGCTTGGGGAAGGGGAACACCAGGCTGCTTGGCCCTCATGGCCGTGTTTATCCGGGGTGGATTTTTTTTTAACCCAAAGGTTAAAGTGTTTCTATTTGAAACATCTATTTACATTCC